TTACGTGGCACCTGAAATTTTAAGAGGAAAGCCATATACACAAGCTTCTGATATTTATTCATTTGGAATAGTTGCATACGAATTACTTTCTGGATCGCCTCCTTATTACAACGTTCCTCATGATATCTCCTTGACCATAAATATATGTAACGGACTTCGTCCTAATTTAGATATTATTAATGTACCTCAGCTATTAAAGGAATTAATTATCAAATGCTTGAATGATAACCCACTAGTTCGCCCAAAGGCTTCTGAGTTATTTAAACTTTTTGGAAAATGGTATCATGATCGGGATGTAGAATTTCGTCATCAATATAATCAGATAAAATGTACAGAAAAATCAATAACATTAGAAACATACCAAGTACATCCTCAAGCCATTTATACGAGTCGACTACTTAATTTAAGTTTGGACGAAAGTCATTATGTTTCCGAAACATTGAACGAGCTTCACATTAAAGATAATTAATGTATCAGAACTAACGTTACATAATATCCTACGGTTTAAAAACATATCTATAAAATTAGGAAAAAGGTTGTAGCGAATAATCATATGAATAAAATACCTTTATTTAAATTAACTAGTACATGATCATGTGGCGGCTTCGCCGCCAACTAATAATTAGATATAACAGAATATGGTATTAACAGACACTGACAATTTGATAATACATGTTTAATTGAAATCAAAAAATATATATCAAGATATATTCTATTTGTTTTTTTTTTATAGTTCTTGACTTTGTTTAAGTTTTTATGTTTTGCCTCGCTTCGCAGGCTAGGTTTTAAACTCTACATTTTTTTTACCATATTTCAACAATCATTAATTGCTAACTTAAAGCTTTAATCAAGATTCACAATAATGTAGATGCAATAATTTAAATATATATACTAGAACTTATATACGCCAGCCAACTAATAATTAGAAGATCAGGTGTAGCAGTAAAACAATTAACATTTAAAATTCTCTCCAATAAAATAGAACACAAATACGTAAAGCTAATTTTGAAAATAACCAATGCAATAACTTTCGGCCTCAATTCAAGCTCAGTTTTACATTTATTATGTTCTGCTTCACTTCGCTAGGCGTTGTTTTAAATTTTAAATATATCGATCGCACCACGTTGTAGATTCAGATTTTAATCAAGACTAGCGAACTCGTTGTAACCCGTTGTAATGGGAAATATTCAATAGTTGGCATGTGAGATAGCTATTTCAGGTTTTACTCGAGGTGAAAACAGTCTTCCCCTGTATCGCCACCAAAATTCCTCCCACACGTGATCATGTGCAGAGCATCGATAAAAAATTTAAAGTTCATATAAGTTTGGTTTAGAGCTTATATTAAGGTTAGAAATTTGTGTGGTTTATAGTAAAATCGCTTAAGGAAAACTTTTTATTAATGCGCAGAAAGTGGTTGCATATGCTAGTTTTTGAGAAATAGAAAACGAACGTTTTGTTTTGAATTTCCTGATCGTGTAACATTACACCTGATCCTGAAATGTGATTGGTTTCTGATCACGTGTGAGTGGAATTTTGGTGGCGATCTAGGGGTGTTGGTGAAACATAGATATTAGATATTGAGGCCGTTCTCAAGCGCCTACCTCAATGAGTTTACCAAACGGTTTGATTGGTCGAAAAAATTGATCGTAATCATCATTTGGGTCAAAAAAACCTGGAGCTGCGACCACCAATTTTTTTTCATAGAATTGCTCTGATTGGTTAAAATTTATACCAGTACGATCACATGTAATGTGGAGGGATGGTCCCGTTCAACTTTTTTGATGTTCACTATGCTGATTTTTAAAAAATCCTTTTTTGGTAGGAATAATGATTTT